CTCTTCCGTCCCTTTATCGTACCATGGTCATAACAAATATAAGGTCTCTGAAGCGTTCTCTTCGACACATGATCGAATACCCTGTCTATGCCGACCTCGTTAAAATTCTGGAACTGGATTGGTACCACAGCGAGAGTTTCGTACGCTATTCTCCCGAGATTACATGCATAAAAGAAGCTAGGACATACTCTGTGGCCGAAGAATCGGCCTCGAATGTCGAAGAGGAAGATCCCAAGATGAACCTCGTACACCTCTTATATCTGCTAAAGCAATTGGAAGTATTGGATATCAAAACTGGGCACCGTTATGACCGAGGTATCTTCTCTTATCTTGCCAATTTTCTAAATAGTCATCCGAGCAGAATTCAGAGATTCGAGTGGCGGAGAGGTGATCTCCCTCTACCCGCATTAATTCCTGCGCTTTTGGTTCCATCATTGAGGGTGTTATCCAGCATCAGCATAATGTCCCAATCCTTTGATCCCCTTTGGTTTCCCTATCTTCCGGAAGGAACCGAACTGGCGTCGTGGTATGGCAAGTCCAACGTGGAGGAACTTTGCCTGGTGAAAGGCGAGATCGAGGGCAAGGATCTAGAGCAAATTCTTCGGCTCCCTCGAGCTCTCAAAATCTTGATATGCGATGGATCCTCCTCTTCGTCCTCGAGTGGGGTAAATGTCGAACTTCAAAGGGCTTTTGAGCGCGTCTCCAAGACCCTCGAGTTCCTTCACATGCTTCTGGTGCCGTCGATCAGCACTGGCGGTCTCATACCATCCTTTGACTACCTCACATCTCTTAAATTTCTTGTTCTACACCATTCTGTTCTCTTTGATGGCAGACGAGGGAACCCTGCTGGGGGCTTGCCTCCTTACCTTGAGGTCCTGTTCACCTTCGCACCTGGGGATGAATGGCCTTTGGACCCTGTACTGGAAAGTTGGGAGCAATTATTGACCAAAAAGTCGTCCACTTGCTTACCCAAGCTAAAGATTGTAGGACACCAACCAAAGACGACACTCTTACTGCCATTGATTGATTTGGCAAAGAGTCGAAAGGTGGAGATAGCACGAAGATTCGCAGATTATCTCGCCGTCAGAGAGTCGTACCTGTCCGAAATCAGAAGCCGGTATCCACATGACGTAGTTCCCGACTAGGATTAAACTTTTTTTGCATACCCATATTGTCCTTGCCTTCCCTACTAGAACGACTTGGTATATGAGCCAGTATAGGTCATGTAGGCAGTTTGAACCTCTGAAACCTATGAATAGTAGCAATACAGATCATAAGTGCGTCATGTTGTCATTCCTAAAGCCAATTTTCATAGGCTCTGGATTTGGCCGGCGGTTTAGCCATACATTCCTACACAGGTTACTATGCGTGCAGTGTACTTTACATCTATAGCTATTTCTATGCGAATTTGCGCACTAGTTGAAAAGTGTAACTCGCAGTCATGTCGCCTTTGTAAACCCGTTGACCTCTAGCCGGCCGAGTCGTCTTATAAACATCTCAAGAT